GGCTCCAGTGCCTGTTTCTAAAGATCATCTGAGGGAGCTTCTCAGGGGGAAGACAGGGGCCATGAAGATGGATATTTTGGATTGCAAACAAAATGGCGACATTTTCCATCTCTGCCTCAGAAAGATACAATCCAGGGAGAAGGGGGGATTGCTTTCTCATATGGGTTGCTCCTGATCCCCAGGTGCAGGTGGTTCCTCACTTCCAGCTTTGGGAGGGGGGCGGATGCTGATGGGGATGCAGTCCTGAGGTTTGCACTTTCTGAATTTCGCTCCTTCTCCGCGGAAGATGAAAAAAATTTCCCTTTCCTGCGCCTGCCTTCGCCTCTGCCAGCCAGCCCGTGGGCAGCCCTATCTTAAATCCAGGAGCAGAAATGTAATATTTAGCTACTGTAGCATCAAGTGGAAGAAGTACTTATAAAATTGCATTTGTATTAGGAAGATATTAATCTCCTGGTTCTCTTCTCCTCCCCCTGGGGCCATAAAAGGAAAGCGGGGAGGGAAGGAGAGGAAATAAATTCCGAGAATGGCAAATCCTAAATTCCGAGAGGAAGCCGATGCTAGGACTCCAGCAGTCCAGGGAAGGGCTCGCGGAGGCTCCTCGGAGCTCAGTGCTTCTTGTGCCGTAGACCTGGGTGAGCCTTTCTGTCTCTTCCTCGCTCCCAGTGGCGATTTTAGAAGTGATTCTCCTGGTTCCATCAAGTACCGCGAAGCATCCGCGGGGAGTCTGGTTGCTCCTAGAGAGTGTTCAACATCCTCTGCGAGGCTGGCGATTCCCCGGGTTAAGGCGTTGGCTGGCCGGCTTTGACCGGAGGAAGATCGTGGACCTGAAGACCGCCCTGCCTTAGTCCCTGGCGGGGCCGCCCGGCACCTGTGCGCCCCCCGCCGCGCCTCGGCCGGGCTTCCTTTGTTTCTCCAGCACTCAGCTCTCCGCAGCCCCTGCGCCCGCCGCCGGCCTCCGCAGCAGCTGGGAACCAGGCAGCCCAGCGGGCTGGCCGCTCGGCGTCTCCAAAGCTGCGGCCACCAGGAGCTCTGGCTGCTTTACCGAGAATTCGCGGTGTTCCCGGACAAGCCGCCCGGCCAGGCCCCAGCTGGAGCTGCTGCAGGGTAGCCGCGGCCTGCTCCGCCAGTTCGCCTCCGCCTCCATTCCACGCAGACCCCCATCTTCGGCCAAAGAACCCCTTCCGAACGCGGATATTATTCAGAATAAAAACTTTATTTTTTTTTGTTTTGTTTCTCAGAGTGTGAGCAGCAAGGAATGTAGAACTCTCAAAACAAATCTAGTCTTTTTCTCGTTTACAGGTTTTCTTCAGTTTCGCCGGATGTTACAAACTTAAATCACTGTTTTCGAAAGCTGGATCCTCTCTGGTATTATTGCATCATTACCGTTTTTTATAAAGGAATTACATTTCCCTTTCAAATAAAAAAAAATTTCTTATGTACGCCAATACACTATTGAACAAAAGGCCCAAGAAACCTTCTGAACAATCAGGGTACAGAATTTCTTTAATATAAATACGAACGGATGGGGATAAATAATATTTAAAACTTAGATTATTCAATGCTTGCAAAAAAAATATAAATAAATCTGACTGTTCACCAGCATACACACACGGAAAGACGTACACTTAGTCATCCTTGCACAGGGAGCCCCTGTTTCAAAGCGCCTTTGATTTTTTTCTCGCTCTTTACAAGAAGTGCAATAAAAAAAATACACTAAAATTAAAAAAAAAAGTAATCGCTTCCCCTCGGGAGCCATAATGTACGAACAAATTCACATTGGAGAACTCGGCTAGAAAATTTGTTCATATACCCTGTTTCTGATCAAAGAGTAGAGAAGGTAAAGGGTGCAGGGCCAGCGGCCGAGCGAGGGGCAGGAGATAAATATCGCTACTGATACTGACAGCCATTCCAGCAACCAAGATTGCTACGTCACAAAAACTATAAAAACGCGTTACCAAAGAAAACAAAACGGGTGGGGGGAGGGAAAGGAGGGCGGAGGAGATAGAAAAGGGAGGGACAGGAAAACCTTAAAACAAAAAAAAAAGCAAACGATGAAGAAAGGTGGGGGGCTGGGGGACTCTCCTGGCGCGCAGCCCCAAGCCCACCATCACAGGTGGGTGAGCTTGGGAGCTTCCTGAATTCTTCCCTGAGAAGGATGGTGGGCGGTAAGGTCCGTGTAGGTGGGGTGCGGCTCCCCTGGCCCGGGCCCGTGATGGTGACCGCTGCCCAGCGGCCCAGCACCCCCGTAGTCCATGGCAGCCGAGGCGGCGTGGGGGAGGTGAGTTAGGCCAAAAAGGGCCGGCCCAGAGTTGCTCATGGGCTCCACATAGCTGCCCCCCACGAAGACGGGGCTTCCCTGTAAGTGTGGGGTCCCATAGCTGCCGTTGCCCTGCAGGCCATGCGCGTGCGGGTCATAGTCGGGTGTGCCCCCCGCCCCTGCCCCCGCCGCTGTGTAGCGCTTCTGTGGGGGCGGTGGGGGCGCGCAGGTGGGCAAGGGTGCTGGGTAGGAGGCGGGGGGCAACCCGTAGGCACCCTGGGGGGGCTTGGAGAAAGATGGGGGCGACTGGGGCTCGTAGGGGACACTGTTGACCAGCGAATGCATAGAGTTCAGATAGCCACCAGCACCGGGGGGCACGGGGCTGCGACTGGGGGATTGGCCCCCTGATGACGTCAGCATGCCCTTTCCTTTCTGATCCTTCTTGTACTTCATGCGGCGATTCTGGAACCAGATTTTGATCTGGCGCTCGGTGAGGTTCAGCAGGTTGGCCATCTCCACCCGGCGCGGCCGGCACAGGTAGCGGTTGAAGTGGAATTCCTTCTCCAGCTCCACCAGCTGCGCGCTCGTGTAGGCCGTGCGCGCCCGCTTGGAGGATGCCTGCCCAGGCGGACTCTTGTCGCCGGCGCAGCTCTCCCCTACCAGGACAGAAGAGAAAGGAAGAGCGGCGTCAGGGTCTGCCCGCAGCCCCGCCCTGCCCCTGACCCAGCCAGGCCACTCCTTGCTCCAGGCCACTCCTTGCTCCAGGCTCCTAAGAGTCCTCCATTTGTCAGGGCCCAGAAAGGGAGAGGAAGAACCAGGTGCTGTCCTCTGTCCTGTCCTAGGAAGCTAGCCCCTCATTCAGTGAAACTGTAAATCATAGGCTTCTCCAAGGGGGGAAAGGACAGAAAAATATAACACACACACACACCCCACCCCACCCCCACCCGTTTGCCTTCCTGGAGCTAGTCACTCTCTGATTCATTTATTGATTTTTCAGGCCTATCAGACTACAAGCTCCCTGTGGGCAGGTCTTCACCATCTTCATACCTTCCTAGTAAATGGAATGTGGGCCACCTAATATATACTCAATAAACCTTTCCCTCTCTGTCTGTCTGAAGAAGTGGACAGTTGCCTCAACTGGCCATTTACTTAATCTCCCCAGTGAAGATGGGTGGAGTGTAAACCCTAATCTGGAAGGCCTTCTCTGTTCAAAGGAAGAGATCCTATCAGAAGTATCCATTTCTGGTGGGGAGGCCCAGGCCTCTGATGCTGGGTCCTATTAATTAGGGTTCTCCATGTCATCAAGCAGCCTGTCCCACCTTTGCCCACTAATCTTGTGCCCTCCTGTCCTCCCTAGCCCCCCAAATCCTGGACCAGGAAGGTCCCAGATGCTCAGGCTCAGAATACAGTGCTGGTAACTTAAGAAGCCAGGGACAATGGTAACCAAGATACTGGGAAGCCCAAGACCCAGGGCCTATCCTCCGCTGGAGTCCAGTTCCAGGAAGCCCATGTGTTTCCTATTAGGATGACAAGTCCCAATCCCCTCCCCCAGGAGATCCCTGGCTGTCCTCATTGTACTGAGTAGGGCCTTCCCAGAGGTAAGGCAGCCACTCCATCTGCTGGAGCAAAATTTAAAAATAGGCTCTGATTATAAGCAAAGCATTGATTCTGATTTGGAGGGCGATTAGGCCTGCTTTTATTCTGCCACATCTCAGTGTGGGGTGGGTGTCACTATTTCATTAGAAATAAGTTGTACTAAAAATAAAGTGGAACTCAGGTTTATTCTGCCCAGAGGTCCCAACTCCAACAGTGGAACAAGAAGGGATTCCGAATTCACTAGGCTCCACTTGCTCTTAAAGAAGTCCAGAGAGACTGCCATCAGGTCTGAGATTCCCTGGGCACACAGACTCCTGTCACCTCCCTAGTTGCAAACGCTCAGGAAACCTGCGTAGGGTGGAAAGAGGAGAAGCAATGAATTCTTGGGAAAGTTCCAGCGCTCCTAGATGGTGCTGGCTGTGGCTGGAGGTGGCTTGGGGGACTAGGAGCCAGGTCAGAGGACCCTTCTCCAGAAGGCACCCCTTTACCTGAGCTGGAGCCGCTGGTTTTCTGCTTTGTGTTCTGCCGAGACTCCTTCATCCAAGGGAAGATTTGTTTGGCCACGGTGGGCGAGTTGAGTAGGGGGCTCTTGGCCGCGCTGGCGGGGGTGGGGTTGCTGCTGGCATTTTGAGGTGGGGAGACTGAAGAGGGGGGCGGGGGCGCAGCAGGAGCTGGTGCAGGGGGCTGCGGTGGTGGTTGAGGCTGCTGTGGGGCCGGAGGCGCGGCCTGGGGTGGTGGTGGAGCTAGAGGCGGCTCTCCCAGGCCTGGGGGCTGGCTGGGCGGGCCGCTCAGGGTGTGCAGACATGCCTCGCTCAGCTCATGCGCTTTGGGGTGCCCCCCAGCGCTGGCGGGTGACTGGAGTGAACAGGCGGGTCGGTGGTACTCGCCGTCGGCGCCCAGTGCCACTGATGCCGGGTACGGCTGCTGGCTGGCATTATAAGCAAACCCGTTGGCTGCCTGGTAGGGGTAGCCACCGTAGATCGCCGAGCTGTCGTAGTAGGTCGCTTTTTGCATCGCGTTGTTTCACGATCTTGATCGCACACTCTGACAGGGTCTTGACACCCGTGAGGGCGCACATTGGCACGCCCCCGCGGTCACGTGACGCTCCGCCGCCAATGGCCACCCAGCGCAGACCTGGGGGGGGGCGAGAATCGCAGCGCTGTGAGGGCTCCGCGCAAATCCATCTTACTCTCAATAGCTAAGTGACATGAAAGCCATAAAAGAAAAAGTGGTCAGCAATATTTAGCAGCACGACTTGGCCCCGGGCGCAGAGAGCCCCGCTATAAAAAGCCGCTGGAATTTACTGACGGCTACAAATATTTGCTTAACTTGCGTCTGGAGTTGGGGGGTTTTCCGGGGAGAGAGGAGAAGAGTGAGTGAGGGCTGGAAACCGGGTCTCGGGAGCTGGAGTCCAAACGCAGAAAGGCTTGATGGGCTAGAAAGGAACAGGGTTGGGATCCTTCTTTTCCAGGGAAGAAGAAACTTGGTGTCCCTTCGCCTCCGCTCCTTGGCCTCGTCCAGCAGGGCCCCACAACTCCTTCCCTCTGGAGATTTTGGGGAAGGGGCAAGGAGGCAAAGGGGAGCTTGAGTCGCCAATTTTTTCTCCAGTCCTCGCTTTAGGACTGATATTTGTCAAAAGAGCCCTGACACGGGACAACTTCCCATCCAGCCCCTTCTTGGACCTTCCAGAACCCAAAAGAGGTATGCACTTTTTTTTTTTTTACAGGCAGTTGCCCTACCCGACCCTACTGGGTTTCAGAAGCTGAGCTTGTTAAGCAGTTAGTCTACCCTCATTCAGGGGGTAGACTCCAAATGGGCCTCTTGTAGCTTAGAAGGGGAGAGATAAAACTTTAGATGGAACATCCTGTGTGGGGAGGGACCAACAACATCCTCTCCAGCAAGTCCAACTCAAATCCTGGACAGCTTTTTACTCCTCTCCTTTTCTTATTTCTCAGGCATGTCCCAGCAAGCCACTCCCACCTCTTCTCCTCGGTTACAAAAGGTCTCCAGACCCTCCTGCCTTGGACTTTCTGAGGTGCTGTTATTAAGGGCAACTATCAAATTCTACCTGTTAAAACATGATGGATTAGAGAAAAAAACAACCCACCAGGAACCTGAAAAACCAGCGTTCATCTCCATGACCACGGCTTGAACTCTCCTTCCAACTTAACGATAATAGGTTCTGTCTTAGAAACTGCTATGTAATTTGATGTATGGGGGTCATTTGGCTCCGGACGAGGGATGGAAGCACAAGCCATGAAATCTTGCCAGAGTTCCCTGATCTTTGTGTGCTCTTGTTGTTGTTGATATTTGTTACTTGGCCTATTTACCTGCTTCAGAAACACCAAGTAAAGGGCAACCCTGGAAATCTAAAAAGCAATTGAAAGCCTTCTCAAACATATTTTTATTTAGAAGGCAGTTTGCAGAAGTGAAATCTATGTTTTATTTTTGTTTTCAACCTTTGCATGGTCAACCTCTGGTTCCACTTAGAAAAGTTCCATGTGAGTTCATATATTCAAACACACACACACACACACACACACACACACACACAGACAGAATGTTAGTCTCTCTGACCATTTAACAAAATTACAATGACAAATTCATGAAAAAAATGATTTATACTTCACACCCCAACTATGTGTATTTGAGTCCTGGAGTTGAATTCAAGTTTTCCAGGAATAGCAAATACTTTGTTAACTAGAAAAAATAGTGACATAAGTATCTACCAGTGGATGGTAATACTGTAATTTTGTTTTTAATAATGGACTCCTTTGGATTTCATTATGAAACCAACAATCTGACCAACATCTGGAAAACAGGCACAATTAATTTTCCAGAACCTCAATTAAAACATACAGCATCCCTTATCCGGAGTTACTGTGCATGATCTTGAGCCCTGGAGTATTGTTTCTCTTTTGGAACTAGATAGGAAGCTACACACACCATGATAAAAAGTAAATAAAGGATAAAACAAAATTTAAAACCGAATAGCACTTAAATGTTTCAGTTTCCTGTTCTTTCACTGCAAACAGTTCCTATTACATTTGGCAGTGTTAATGTCAGCCATTATAAAATTTTAAGATACTAGGCTTGTGTAAAATAAAATGTCAGGTTAAGAAAATTACTCCAGGCACTCGAACAGCAAGATATTAGATAAAACAAAATTAAGTTGATTTTGAACGTGTAATACTTCAAGTCACTTGCTAATCCATTATCACAAGCTACACTGGCCTGCTGTTTACCTAAGTCTTTTCCTCAAGTTGTCCATTGTCTTGTAAAATCACAAAAAATACCTTTAAAAATCAAAGAGCAAACAACCACCCTCAGAAACTTAAAATATGAATTCACTTTGGAGAGCTCCCCAAAGTGCTTCCTATTGTTTGAGGTCAGCTGATAACCACCCTGGAGCCCATACAATCGCCCCCCCCCAAAACCAGCCCCCGAAGTTTGCAACCTAGTAAAGAAGTTGGAGATTTGCCAGCCGGGAAACTTTGCTTTGCACCCCCAAGCAAGGGTTGGGGGTGGGGGGAGATTCCCCCGAAGAGATCCATTTCTGGACAATAACCCCCAGGTGCAAGAGCTGAAAAGAGAGTTGAGGAGGCTAAACTGAGTGCAGGAAGCAAGCCCTATTGTCTGTCTGGAAGACCTGCCCAAATTCAACCTCCTTCCTTCAGACACCGCTCCCTCCTTCCACTCCCGCACCTTCCTCAGCCTGCCCTCACCCCGAGTTTAAGCGAGAACATCGGGTAAGAGCCCCCGCGTTCCCTTGCCCACCCCTCTAATCCTCCCCAACCAAGAAAAGTTGCGGCTGGGCTAGGGGAGAGGGGAGAGGTGGGGGCGGGGATGGGAAAGCGGCCTGAACTCGAAGTGTAAGGGTATCAGTCACTGCCGGGAAGGAAGCTCCGGCTTGTGAACTCTTCTTGAACCGAGATTTAAGTCTGCGGCCATAAATCACCGAGACGTAAACTCCGCCATTCAGCGCTGAGAGCGGCCGGTTGTGGCCCTGCTTACCTTAACTTCTGACGAGCGCCGCGAGCGCAGGCTCCGGCTCGGGCTCTGGCCCCCGGCCCGGCTGCGCGGCCCGGCCGGGTCCCCTCCGCGCGGGATGGGCACCGACCCTCAGCATCAGCCGAGACGGCGGGCGGGAGGGAGACCCCGAGGCCCGGACGCCACGGTGCAGAGCGTGGCCGCCTCGCTGCTCCGGCACGGCTCGCCCAGGGCGGACTGGGGCGGCTTGGACCCCCCCTCC